GTTTTTTCCTATGCATACATACTTATGATAAAGTTTAATTTATAAATTAGGCACAGTAAGAAGTTAACAATAACTAGTAATACAATAGAACAATTATAAAAATATACTGTAATAAAAAGGTATGTGAACGTGGTCTTTCTCTGTTTATTTCTGCAATTTTGCATTTAATATTTTTGGGCCGTGGTTGACTGCAGGTTACTGGAACTGCAGAAAACGAAACTGTGGATAGGGGTAACTACTGTACATTGTAATGCAATAGTTAAATGTAAATATTATCATTTTCCCTTTGCTACCACTAGAGTAATCATGTAGGTTGTCGAACTGTGTTCCAGGAAACCCTGGGGATCATGCTGGGAGCTCAGGGACCGTCCTTCTTCAGACAAAGCATCTTCCCTTTTATCTGCTTTCTGTGTTAGGCTTCCACGTAGTTTCTTTGGAAGATAGGGCTCTGTAACTTCTAAAGAAGTTTGAAAATCAGCAATCTAGCAGGATTTTTGCAAATGAGAATAAATAGCTGTGTTCATTTGAAATGCTAGCAATCATCTGGGTAGGGTGATGATTGGCTGAACACCTGGTTCAAGGTGATTGACGTCCATTTAATAACTATGAATAGACTGGCTTGAACCAGAGACTGAAACTCACATGGAGACCTTTGTGCTGCATTGAGACTGGGGGTGTCATTTAAGTTGGGTGTTCCCAATGCCTTTTATTTTTTGGCTCTGTTTGTAACCAATGTGATGGTTCAGTGTAAGAACCACGGTGGAAACTAAGCGGTACCTGCCAGGTGATGGTGCTTTCTTTCCTGTCTTCATTTTTCAGTGCACTTACATTTCAATTGACCAAGTTCCAAGGACCCATGCCATTGTGATAAGCAGACCTGCCTGGCTTTGGGGGGCAGAAATGGGAGCCAATGAACATGGAGTATGCATAGCCAATGAAGCCATCAACACCAGAGAACCAGCTGCTGAGACAGAAGCCTTACTGGGGATGGATCTTGTCAGGTACTGCATTGTGATTCTTTGAAACAACTGCCAAGAATAGGTTGGAAATGAGGACAGGATTTCTTTCCCCCTAAACCTCATATTTTGTAACATAATCCTCCGAAAGAGGACATGCCTTTTGATATAAGATCTGAGATAATGGAAAAAAAGAGTAGATTACAAGGAAGGGTATTCAGCAATAAAAAAA